CTCTTCTCCCCCTTTCCTTTCTCAATTTTTTTTTTGTGTTTAATTTTGTAGGATAGATTGAAGTACAATGTTGGAATATTTATATGCATAAACCAAAAGACTTTGGGACATGAAAGAGTAGGGAGGGAACAATTAGGGGTGGAAATTGGGGAGGGTGTGGTTACCCGCCCCACATTTTGCGGGTACCCACACCCACAAATTTACAATTATGCTACCCACAACCCGCATCGCAGTGATTAGTGGGTAACCACTACCCATTGTGGGTTTGTGCGGGTTGGGTGTGGTTACCCGCAAAAATCCATCTTTGCAAGCATAGAGTTCTAGTTGCCACTAACGTATTTGTTGTTCGTAACTAGACTATAGTGATATACACTTGTGTTGTTCGTGGAGATACAATTTTGTACATCGATCTTACTCAACGTGAAGATTTTTTCTTTTTGAGTGTGGTATTCAACTTTTGTGGCAGAGAGCTGTGATTTCATATTTCCCCGACTAGGGGTGAAATATGACAATTAAATATGATCTTGTATTTTTCTCACACAAAAGCAAAAACATACTGATAAAAGTTATAAAAGGTGTTCACTTTTAATGAATTGATTATTCTCCACTCTAGAGAGAAGCAAAAGGAATATAAACTTCCATCTACGAACTTCCAAACCCATATATACGTCACCCCTACCCTGCCCATAATCAACGTGTCTACTTGGATTTAGGTAAACATCATTTACTAGCCAAAATTTTAAAAAAAAAAAATAAATTGGATGTTGACCGCCATATATCTCTTCTCAATCCATATCATATTGTCAAACCAATAAAACTAACAAAACTGCTAATGAAAAGTTAATTTTAGACTAATAATACTAACAATACACCATAACGGGCACATAATAAATACCTATAGGCCATCTCCGTCCGCGACAAGGCGCGGTATCGCCTCCTAGTAATTTCTTAAACTAGTTGTGTACGGAGTCAATTGTGTGCTTCTTCTTTCATCCACAATAAGTTGAAAGCGAAAAGTATATGCATATGCCCGTTAAATGAAGAAAATTCAGGAGAGCTTACTTGTGATCTAACACTATAGTGCCTACACATAATTAGCTCCACATTGGGCTTAGGAGATTACTTGCGATTCGATGGATACTATAAACAAGTTGTTCTTATTGATTCATCATACTGTTGGGGTTGTCCAAAAATTCGAGCGAGAGAAGCCAAAAGAACTACTTCTTTTCGTCTCTCTTGCTCGAAGCTTTGGCTCTGCCAATGGTATAATGGGACAATGAGAGCAGTATGCTTTCAAAGTCAACGGATTTTCAACTAATCACCCAAACTCAATTTGGAAGTAATTATGTCTAGGCACTATAAGTTTTAAAATCATAAGCAAGCTCTCAAGATTTCTTCATTTGACTCAGGTGTGCGTACTTTTTTTTTCTTATATAATTTTGGATGAAAGAAGAAGCACAACTGACTCCATCCACAACTAGGTTAAGAAGCGAATGGATTTCTTTCGTTGTCAAATAATACATGAAGCAACAATGATACCTTGGTAAATATTTATCCCAACATTCTACTTCATTTTATCCCAAAAAAAAAAAAAAAAACAAACAAAATTTTGAGAAAGGGAAGTGGGAGAAGAAAAGTGAGTCTGAGTGCAAAGATTAGCAATTGAAGATGTCTTTATTCACAACCATTACATTCCTATTTACCTTTCCTGCTAATCCAAACTTGTAGCCTCACAACTAAGTGGCGACGGGTGACCTCTCATTCCAATTATATTTATTATAATTAAGCAATATTCATGTCATGATATCTTAGATTTAGACAAAGTTCTTATTTGCTAAGTGACTTTTGGATGATAGAATCAAAGTTTCACCTTCGACTTCTTGGTGCATTTCCAAACGAAGGTAAAAAAATCAAGAAATTTTACTTGAATTGCTTATAAATAAACTCTATGTTCAATTGCTAATCTTATATATAAACTCTTCCGTCAAATCATTGATTTGGAAAATCTATAGGTATCAAATTTTGTCTTTGAAATATAAAGCAATAAACTAAAGATTCAAACATAAACAAATAAAAGTACAATTAATATGTTATTAAATCACACTTTGTATTATAAATGTATAATCAGTAAGCCAACTCTTTAGTGTTATATATTATATTCATAACTGTACGAAGCAACTAAGAATTGGCTATGAAAACTCATGGCTTGTGAGATGAATATACCCAAATGAGTTGGTGTAAGAAACAATATATAGAGGAATAAATAAATTTGATTTGTTACTTTGCTTTCATTTTCTTTTATGATATTATGCCATCTTGATAAACAAAAAATATACAATTTAAAGAGACGAGATGTATTCCTTAAATAATTTGAATGTCAGTAACTGATTATGATTTTCGAAAACAGACACATCCACTTGTTATGAATTTCACGAGTTCGAATCATATCCATCGACTTAGAGAACATATTATCAAATGAAAGACAGTAAAAAAGTACATTCGTATTCTAATTTACTTCTTAACATTTGATAATACATTGTTGGATCAAATTTTTTTATGAGTAGATACACCTTCGGAGAAATGTTTTAAGCAAAATCTTTTCATCATTGATTAGTGTTCTTTTGATAATGCCAAATAATAATTTTTTAGTTGAGTGTTGAGTGGGAAATGGCTTTTATTGGTTTCATCCAACTCATTCAATAACTATAACACTCATTACTGATTGATGAAATAAGTAAAAATTTAATTATTGATTAAAATTATCTGCAACAATAAAATATTTAAAATGTAATAGGAAATAATTGCAGGAAAAACATATATACCTTGTCTTGTGAAACCAATGAAGCAGGGTGAGGGGTGAGGGTCCACCTTTGTCAAGCCACTACGTCAAAGTTTATCTCCATCTCATACTTAATTCAATTGTACATGTAAATTTATAAGAAATAAGGTGAAGAATTTTATATGAATAACCATAATTGCAAATGCACATTGTTACTTTCGTAAATCACCCATTAAAATGGCAGGGAGCAATACATTTTTCAAATTTGGAGTACTTGAAATCTACAAAGAGTAAGAAAATAGGAATTAAAAAGAATAAGCAAAAAAGATAATAAATATTTTTAGCAAAAAAGAATAAACTAATTTGTTCCCTTTTAAGAGAAACAAAGTGGCAAAGAAAATAAAAATAATCAGATTCAAAGTCGTAGCAATAGATCCGCACTTTTTAAGCAACGAAAATAATTAAGACTAAAATTATCAAATATGGAAAACAACCAAAATAGATTGGATGCATTTTCTTAAAACAATCCTTAATTTGATTATGAAAGTCAAATGATAATTTTAGGTAGGGGTGGCTATACGGTCCGGTCCGGTTAAATTGGCCCAAATTGATCCGGTCCAGTCCGGTCTTTTTGAAAATATAAGGACCAAAAATTGGATTGGATACAGTCCGGTCTTGATCCGGTCCGGTTTTGATCCGGTCCGGTCCCAATTCGGTCTTGATTTTACATTGAGATTGTGGGATTTGAGTGGCCTAAGGCCTTAAAGGGTGAGGAGTTGGTTAAGTTTTGTACTAAGTGCAAAGGTTTGTGACCGTTTATGCAAATTACCCTTAAGTTTTGGGTGATGAGCTCTCTTATCCGGTCTTTATCCGGTTTTTTATCTCAAATCTAAGTCCAAAGATTGGATTGGATTGTTTACTATCCGGTCCCGGTCCGGTCTCGGTCCGGGTTATACGGTCCGGTTTCCGGTTTTTAATCCGGTCCCGGTCCAAATAGCCACCCCTAATTTTAGGGATGGAAAGTCAATGTTAGTGCTTTATAGTCTCACAAAATTCTGGATGTTGTCGATTCTTTTGCTTTAAAATCAATAGAGCTTAAGGAGGTAAAAGAAATGTGTAATGACTTATTATGGTGAGTGAATGTTGGTTCCAGACTTAGAGTTGTGGTCACCTCAAGACTTCTTTAGGTAGATGGTAAAGACTGGTATACTGTAGTGATATAGTATATTCTATGTGTATTTTGGAGAGTTTCAATCAATTTGAACAATTAATTATAATTTTCTATTAACTTAAACTTCGGGTTTGGGTTTAGAGAATCGTGGTTTGCGGTTTATCCATTAAAGGTTAGGACATGATATCATATGTCAAAATGAGTTTAATTCATGTTCTATATAGATATATCTCTAAGAGTACATGTAGTATCGTATACTCTAATAGTATAACAGTCTGACCCATATATATGGTAAAGACGGCAAAGATTAGCGTACACCTACATTCACACTTATTTTTTGTAATATGATAATTTCGACGAATCAAAACCGTTGATTTCATTTTAAGGTTAAATGAATCTTATGATTTGGGTTAGAGAATCGGAAAATGGGGTTCACCCATTAGAGATTATGGTATAGTAACATGCCTCAAACTCCATTTAATTCATGGTCTAAATAACAAAACTCAACAGACGTACGGTAATGTAAGTGCACGCATGGTGTACGCTAGCCTTGGTATACTCTAAAACTATAGTATACTCCATGTGATATGGCCGCTAGATGTACTTCGATGAGATCCGGCGAATCTCAACAGTCAATTATTTTTTCTGTTAAATTGAACTTTAAGTTTGAGTTTCGAAAGGTCGAGGCCTGAGGTTTACCCAACAGAGGTTAGTGTATATTATCATATCTCAAACTCAGTTTAATTCATGATCTACATAGAGATATCTTACTAGCATACTCCAGGCATATAATATACGCTTGCGTTCACACTTATTAGATGCACTTCATATATTTCGATGAATCTGAACCGTCGGTCATTATTTTTAGATTAAATTATTCTTATGATTTGGGTTAGAAAATGAAAAATTGGGGTTCACCATTAGAAGTTAGAGTACAGTATCATACACCAAAATCCAAATAATTTATAGTTTAAATAGTAAAATCCAAATAATCCAGACATACGGTAGCCTGAACCATATATATCATGACATATATTGGATATTTTTACAGCAATGATACCTGTGGGTCGCATGGATATTGGAATACAGACTGAATAGAGGGACTTGATGCGAATAACGGTTTTTGGAATGAGCTTAAGCTGAAGAGAAATCGACCAAAGGTTCAGGGTTACTTTGGTGTCTCAAATGGTGTGGTGTGTTGGGTCGATGCTTCAATTGAAAATTTTCCAATTAAGAAGATTTGGGAGAAGTTGTAACCTCATGGATATGGATCCTAGTTGTCATCTCTAATTATATGTCCCAAGCTGGGATTCATTGTAACATCCCGAACCTTTTCCCGACGAAGATATTGTCCGCTTTGGGCCTCGACCCTCACGGTTTTCGACTTGGGGTGCAATTCAAGGTGACTTCCCATAAGGGCACCCATCCTTGTTGTACTCCACACTGAGCACGTTTAACTTCGAAGTTCTCACAAGAACTCCTCCATTACACCCCAAAAAGCGTCTTGTCAGTTAAGGTCGGTTTCCTACTTATGAACCATGGATCTCTCCCGTGCTTTGTCGATGTGGGATTCACCTAAAGTGTTACATTCATCGCATAAGCGAAGGATCCATGAGGTGAGAGCATCAGAGACAGCAGCGTTCCAGATGGAAGTGATCAGAATTGAGTGAAAAGTGGCGCATGATGGGGAAGGACGATCCATGGGAAAGGAGCGGGTGTTGAAGAGGAACCCTCCAAGGACATAGAGGTGAGGGTCTACGGAAATGGAGGTGAAATTGCAGAGTCCGTAGACGTAGGAGTGGCAGGGAATGGGCAGGAGAGATGGAAGGGTCTTGTGGGAAGATGCAGAGGAGGTTGCTGAGATAGCGGAGGTGGCGCCAGAGAGTAATTAGGGATTGAGACCCGTCATCGGGTCTCTATTTTTGGAGCTCAGGAATGAGGGGTTTGGGAATGGTTGAGTGGAGCTTTCTAGGTTGAACAAGTCAAGGATGGGTCGGGTCTTGGGTTGGATTAGAATTTTTATGACAATGTGAGTGTGTTATGACGTGGTGGATTGACTTTTTTCTTAGTTTTCCAGTAACCAAACTTGCAATTTACCCGTTTTTAATGTGGTAGGTTAAGAGCAGGGTTGGTGCCTCAACAGTGGACTAGGCCAACAAGAGAACCCAACAATCAAACACTTGCCTAGAATCTGTACAATGAGACATTAGAACCTCCAAACTATGTTGACTAGATACCCAGTCGCCAGGTGGCACCCCACTGTTGCGCGCAGGTTGTAATCATCGCAGGTTAATAAACAAAACAAAAAAGAAGGTTATATTTTTCCCTTGAATCTATCTTAGCTGGCTGGCCTACTTATAATTGGCCAAATCACTAAAAACCTTGGAAACTAGGCTGTAATTGGGTTTCATTTCGCCGGCAAGGGATCTCACAGCTAGCCTAGCTTGCCGGCATCTTGTTTGCCGGATTTAAGAACAAAGGATATAGCAGCAATTAGTTAATCAAGCTTCTTAATCTAGCATAGACATTGCAATTAAGGAGAGAGAGAGAGAACTTAGTAAGTTTACGGTAGCTTGGTTTTCGAGGGAGTTGAAATCACCATGAGAGGTCTGAGAATGTCGGTTTTGCCAGTGACCGTGGTGGCGCATTTGACCGCCATTGCGACGACAGCCCTCGTCCTGGTTTGGCTCCTCAAGCTCCGCGGCGGCCTCGCATGGAATGCTCAGCCACCAGCCTCCTTCAAGGTTTTTAATGTAAGCAAACCTCGTGAATAATAAACTAGCTCTGATACCATGAATCATAAAACCTGAATTGGTCTCAATCACTCAAGTTATTAGGAGAAAATTACTATGGATCTTTATATCACTCTCGAACAAGAAGAAGTTCTTCTGCAACGACCAACGAACAAAATCGTCCCTAAAAGCTTTTGCAACCATTTCGTTACATTTTTTTTTTCGTGATTCTTTTTCTGGTTGCAAAAGTCCTTTTATCGTATAATAATGATTGACGATTTAGCTAACTCAATCGAGTTTAATCAAGTGATAATATGGACTGTGTGTTTTGGCAGGTGCATCCCCTCGTAATGGTGATTGGATTCGTACTTGTTTCAGGAGAAGGTACGATTATTATCGATTAGTGACGAAGCTAAGTTGGAGCCACGATAATAGACTAATTACTTAGGGGGTTTATATGAATGATGGCGTGCAGGAATCATGGCGTATAAGATCATTGGTGGGAGAAGGAGAGTTCGAAAAGCCAGTCATCTGGCGCTTCATCTGATAGCACTGTTTGCTGGAGTTTTTGGCGTGGTTGCGGTGTTTAGGTACAGGCACCAAATCGAAGCTCAACACATGATCACTCTCCATTCTTGGCTTGGGATTATCACTGTCGCCTCATTTGCTCTACAGGTAGGTTAATTACCTTAATCTAAGCTTATAATAAACCCAATGCATAAATGACCATCCTTAAAAAAAAAAAATCAATTTCGTGTAGAAAGTAACTTTAGCAAGATTACTCCTCGGCTAGTCATGTTTCGTTCGTTCACTTATTTTCTTGGGTGCATAGTGCGTATTTGCCTTATAATCATCATTTCGATCTTCGTCGTCGGATGATGTTGAATTTCTTAAAATTTGAAATGGGATTTGCCATATGCAATGCAGTTCGTGTTAGGGGCGGTGTTCTACATGTTCCGAGGGGCGGCGCAAACGTCTGCAAAGGCGTCGTATCTTCCGTGGCATATCTTCGTCGGAAGCATCATATTTCTGATGGCAGTCGGCACCGCCTTGACCGGCATTGTGCAGCAGTTTGCAATTCTAGGTCTCGGCAACGATCAAGAAGGCCACATCGTCAACTCCATTGGACTTCTGCTCGTTCTTTTTGCTGCCACCGTTGGCCTCACCGTAGTCCTTCCTTATGAAAAGTGAACCGAGCAAAAAGCATATGTTAAAATGTATACCATCATTGTTGCTATTATTATTTGATGCCTTTCATTTATGTTGCAGAGTTATGTATGATTAATGTTAGTTTCACATGAATGTGTTATGTATTCTGATTTGATGATTTATTGGAAATAAATAGCTAGAGCCGCAGAAAGAGATTGTATGTCTCTTGTTCGTACATAATTGCTTTTTAGGGAAATTTTGTGATGTTTGCTACTACGATACAAAGTTGTCGCGTTCAACATAATTGTTAGTAAATGATATATGATCCACCATTGAACCTACCTCAACAACTCGAATTATTGAGAGCAACTAGTTGTTGACATGGTATCAGAGTCATCTGTGATCAAGAAGTTTTCTGCTCGAATTTCGATGTCCCCATCTATTCTATTAAACACATGACCTTCCGAAAAATACTAGCCATGAGAATGTGATGGTCCATGATTCAACAAGAAATAGGCGTTGTCAAGTTGACTCGCTAAACTCCATCCATCCATACAGTGCTGCCCATAGAGTGGCGCGTAAAGCACTGCTTTTGTCTCGTCTAGAGCTATAATCTTTTGATTTTTTGGAGTGGCTTCTTTACACTATGTTCCCGAAGGAAGGGAGGAAAATGGAGGGGAGGGGAAGGGAATTGGAGGGGAGGGACAATTTGGAGGTTAAGGAAATTGGAAGGAAAATGGTGTTTTATGAAGGAAAGTGGGGAGGAATATGTATTGGGAACTGTGATGAATATGTTATTTTATTAGATATATAATAGTAAAATAATTTGATTATATTATCGAGATGACAAAAATATCCATAATCGCGGATATCTGTCCGAGTCCGAACTAATCGAATAGGGTAAAACTTGAACCCGAAAGACTTTTAGCGGATACGGGTTAAACCCGAACTCGAATATTGCGGGTAATGAGTGGGCATGGTTTTCTCACTATCCAACTCGAACTAACCCAATTATACACATGCATAAGTATTTTGTCTAGATATAATCATTTTTTCTCTAACATATTTTATATTAGCTTATAAATATAATCTTTTTACAAAATTGTAATGTTTTAATTAATTTTCTTCGTTCAGATTATACTTTGTATGATGTCATCCATAGAACAATTATATAATATTATTATTTAAGGGAGAAGGTGGTTTTATAATGTGAAAAGAAGAGAATCATTTAGCCATTTTCCGTCCGATTTGGGGGGTAGGAGGGAACAGTAAGTTAGCCTCCCTCTTTCCTTCCCTGCTTTTCTTTCCTCCCTTTAAAAACAGGGTTACATGTCTCGATTCCTACGCTTTCCCTTACCCCCTTTCCCTCCCCTCCTTTTCCTTACTTAAGAAACAGAGTGTTAGAGTATTTAAGGGGTCCTGGGTAGAATTGTAAGTTTAACTCTTATCCTCCATTTCCATTAAAAAAAAACTCTTATCCTCCATTTATATCACTAGTGTGGGCCCCGGCCAGTTGGCCGGAGGAAGGCGAGGTAGGAAATTTGATAATGTAATAGGATGTATGGCTTATTATTGTATAGTTTTTTTGGGAAACACGTGATAAAAATAGTGAATTTTAGCAGGAAAGAGACATGAATGATGCAACGAATCAAAAATCGGCCTTATGAACCAAAATCAAGTACCTGTTACGTACCTTGTGAAACAATATTGTTTCTGGTAATATGATGAGGTGGAGTAAGTTTATTGAAACCGAATTTCAGAAAATCGAATAAAAATCGCCTATCTCGTCGTTTTTCGGGAAATGAGCATCTCACAATCGTTGCTAGCTTTTACTCGGCCCGTTGGCCGATTAGTTTGCTTTATAAAACTTTCATCCTGTCATCATTGTGCTTTCTGGTTTTTGTCAGGCCATGATAAAATCTAAGGAAATCAAGAAAGAACAACACGATTTGGGATAGGAACTGCCGTTGTCGTATCCCTAGAAAATGGCGGTAAACACGGACTCACCTGCCAAACTGGTTTGGATTGAGATTTTTATCGTGTATCAAGGAACCATGTGATTATAAATTAGACTTGATCAAAACGGGCCAAAACTTGAAATTCAGCCTGTTTGACCGACCCATGACAAATTCTAATTATTCTTTACTTTTAAACTTTCTATATGAAAATAAAAAATAGTGAAAGAAAAGAGATGACTACAATTCGCCATTTGCACATCACTTATTCGGGAATAAAACCATAGATTTCAAAAGGAACTGAAAATGTTTAGGGTCGTTTTAATGTTTAAAATAACCAAATAGATCTTTCTTTTTAGTTTTTTACTAACAAATACCAAACAATTCCCTATAAAATACACTATAATTTGATCATTATGATATCAAATAATTATATAATATATATTTGAAATGATAAAAATTGGACTAATTGGGTTGGTCGAGGTTGAACCATTGAATAACTTTAAAATAAATTATATTTTAGCCACTAAGATATAAAATAATTGACACTCATGGACCCGTTTAAATCTGCATGTGTACGGTAAGTTGGCCCGTTCCACAGAGGAAAGAGAAAAAAATTGGCACTCCCTATTCTACCCTTCCTACATACGCGCCTCGAGCAGGGAATTTGAAATGAAGAAGGGTTTTTTCCTCCCTGCTATTAAATGTTCTTAATTTAAAAAGATACAACAAATGTACTTAGTGTGATTGATTATGATCCTTGCTTTTCTTTAAAATGATCATGGTTCCAATCCCAGTGTCTTTTTAATGAATAAATGAAGCAAACAAGCCCATGGAACTAAACAAACAAAGTTTATAACATTTGAGGGCAACTCTATCATCTGAGGCAGAAGTTAACTACCAATTACCAACCTCGAAAACGCTTCATCTGTTAGCAGTCAGCTTTCCCGGAGATGTATCGGGAGTAGCAAGAATATAGCTAACACGAGCTTTCCCGTCAGCGACTTTCTTTTGCTTTGCAAACTCTGAGTACAGTTGTGATACGGTGAGAAGTTGTAACGAGATAGTTCTCCCTTTTCTTGGCAGGAGTAGGCCAGAATTCTACTTTCTTGGCTAGAATGACCAGAGGGTTTCTTTACTTGTAAATGCTTGCCTTTTTATTTCTTGACCTTCAACATAAATACTAAGAGAATGAAATGGAAAAGTGGAACTACTTCCACGTACAGTTGCTACTCCTTCTCCACCTAAGGTGGAGCAGATTATTGAATTTCAAAAGACTCAACAACAATACTACTGACTCGTTCAACACCTAACCGACAAATACTAACGGCAAGCTTGCGGCCACTGGGCTGGGCTACTCGTCGCGGTAGCGCTTGTTGGGCCGCGGAATCCGAGCTGAGTGCCGAGAGCTGCTGCTGGGCTGAGGATGCGTATCATTACCACCCCCTGAAGCAACGGCATTGTCCTCAAGGCCGAGCTGAATGAAGCGGTCATGGAACTCGGAGGCGAGTTCCCACGTTGCGTCATCAGCGGGCATGGCTTGCCACTGTACTAGCAGCTCTTCGACGAAACGGGACCCCCGTTTGGTCCAGCGTGTGTCGAGGATGGCCTCGGGGTGCAGAAGAAGAGATCTGTCATCGCTGATCGGAGGAGCGACCGGGGGAACAGCAGGGGGAGGACTGAGGCAGCGGCGGAGTAAGGAGACATGGAAAACAGGGTGCACGCGGCTGCCCGGTGGTAGGCCGAGACGGTACGCAACCGAGCCAACCCTTTCGGTAATCATATAAGGCCCGAAGTAGCGACAAGAGAGCTTCTGGGAGGCGCGACGGAAGACCGTGTGCTGGCGGTATGGGTGCAGCTTCAAGTAAACCCAATCGCCCACCGCAAACAGAACTTCGCGGCGATGTGCATCCGCATTTTGCTTCATGCGATTCTGGGCAGCAGCGAGATTGGTTTTCAACTCGTCGAGGAGGGCGTTACGATCGATGAGCGCACGATCCACCTCATGAACCATGGTTGCCCCTGGACGATAGGAGGGAATAGCAGGAGGAAGACGACCATACAAAGCCTGAAAAGGGGACATACCTGCCGAACTGTGGAAGGAAGTATTATACCAAAACTCGGCCCAGGGTAGGGAGGCAAGCCATTTCTTCGGCTGCTGGTGGGTGAAACAACGTAAATATTGTTCGACGCAGCGGTTCACGACCTCCGTTTGCCCGTCCGTCTGAGGGTGGTAGGAGGACGACATGCTGAGAGTGGTGCCAGATTGACGATGGAGCTCTTGCCAAAAATGACTCATAAAGACCGCGTCACGGTCACTCACAATGGATCGCGGCAGGCCATGGAGACGGACTATGCCGGCGATGAAGTTGTCGGCCACCGAGCGCGCTGTATACGGGTGCGAGAGGGCGAGGAAGTGGCCATATTTGGTTAGTCGATCAACGACCACCAAAATCACTGTCTTGCCCCCGGAACTGGGTAGCCCATCGACAAAGTCGAGGGAGATGTCTTCCCAGAACTCCGTCGGAATAGGCAGGGGCTGAAGGAGGCCGGCGGGGGACATGTGCAGGGCCTTGGCGCGTTGGCAGGTGTCGCAGGCGTTGACAAATGCGCGAACGTCGCGGAGCATGCCCGGCCAAAAGAAATGGGAGCCGAGGCGGCGGTACGTGGCGGTGATGCCGGAGTGGCCGCCAGTTGGGGTCGAGTGGAACTCCTCCAGTAGCTGGCGGATGTGCGGCGACCCGGGAGGGACGATGACGCGGCGGTGGTAGCAGGCCATGTCGTTGCGAATCGTGTAAGGCCCTGGGATTGGAGATTTTGCTTTCGCCAAAACCCTCTGCATATAAGGATGTGATAGTGACGTTGATTTGATGGACTCCCAAAGTGACGTGTGAGGGATGGAGACTGCCAATAATTCAGCAACAGGAGGGCGGCGGCTGAGGGAATCGGCGGCCTGGTTCTCCTTCCCGGGCTTGTAGACTATCTCGTAGTCATAGCCCAATAGCTTGGAGACCCATTGCTGCTGTTCGGGCGTGGTAATTCGCTGGCTTAGGAGGTGTTTCAGGCTCTTTTGATCGGTCCGGATAATGAATTTTCGGCCCATGATATATGGCCGCCAGGTTTGGATTGCGGTAACGATCGCCAACATTTCCTTGGCGTAGGTGGACAGGGCCTGCTTGGCCGTCCCCAAGGCGCGGCTCATGTAGGCAATGGGCCGATCCGCTTGCATTAAGACGGCCCCAATGCCTGACCCGGACGCGTCGGTCTCAATGAGGAAAGGGGCTGAAAAATTGGGCATCGCCAACACCGGGGTCGTGGTCATGGCGATCTTGAGCGATTGAAACGCCACCGCAGCCTCGGCGGTCCATTCAAACTGCCCTTTTTTAAGGAGATTGGTCAGCGGTCGAGCAATCAGGCCATACCCTTTGACGAATTTGCGGTAGTATCCCGTGAGACCCAAGAATCCGCGGAGCTCGGAAGGGCAAGTGGGCGTCGGCCACTCACTCATGGC